TCTGATGGGTGTTTGGGGCCTCTCGGGGCCCTTGTTGGGCAGTTCGGCCGCCATCCTGACCGACTTGGGCCCGCTGCCTGGACCCAGCAGGAGTTTCCAGGAGCTCTCGAAAGCCCAGGGAACCTTTTGCAGGGGCGTCCAGGGGGCCCCCGAGGCCAGGGATCTGGCGGATCCCGTTTAGGGAGGTTCGCAGGGTCCCAGATTGTAGAGAAAGACGAGGGAATCCAATATATATATATATGTATAGACAGAGAGAGATCCATACTGCTCACGTAGTTTGTACCAGAGTGCGTAGAATAGACAGCAAGTACACAATAGCTGACATCAAAGACCTTGCACGCCATAGTTTACACCACATAGCTTTGCGCCGCGTAGATTCCTTGGAGTAGTCGGTCTCTGTCCCCCCCGTACACACACCGAGGCCTCTCGAGGTTGGCGGTGCCCCTGGGGCTGGCATCTTGTGCCATCTATGTCAGACATGTTCGCTCGTCGTCATTGTCATCATCACGGTCATATATATACATATATACATATATACCCCTATATAGTAAATCCCCGGACTGAAGCAATGATGTGAGAAGTGTTGTGTGCAACAGTTCTCAGCAGAGAATACCATGCAGGCCACATGCGCGCGCCACCCGACGCGCATGCCAAGGCCATTGAAAACCCACCGGCTTCTCAGACCCCCAGATTTCCTATATGTTAGCAAGCGTGGGCCCCAAACAGTTTTGTTCAGTCATCGACGGTGTGCAATATATGTGGTGCTGTCGATGCTGTGCACTCTAAGTACCGCAACCTATGTGGTGCAAGCAAAGTGATGAACTTTGAATGTCTGTGTACATATATGTATACGTTGGGTAACCTATGCGGTGCAATCTATGTAGCGCAGCTTTTCTAGGGCAACATACCTTGTGAGTGGCCACAAAGTGCGCCGCAGACGCGAAAACACAATCGTGCAAAATGTGTGTTGTAATCTGTGCTGTACAATATGTATAATGTATTATATGCGGTCGCGCAAAATTTGATGTGCATTCCATTCTGCGCAATCGATGTTGTTCAGTTCGCGTACCGAACTTGAAGTTGTCAACCCCACTGCTCGCGCAATCCCACCCACCCACACGCAACTTGGTTTGCAAAACCTATGCGGGAGCGATTGCGATGAATGCTGGGTGTTGGCTGGTGCATCTCTGCGGCCGCGCTAGCCCGCGCATGCTCGCGCGCGCAGCGTCCAGCTAGTATGGCGCGACCGACGCGAACGCGGTGGCGCTGACCGTTCGGCACATCCCAGCGGGCACTTCAGTGTGAGTCGGCGACTTGGGCGGGCGCGGTATCATGGCAACGTCGACGACGGTAGACACGATGATGATAGTAGCGATGCTGGGGAAGATGCTGACAGCGACGACAGGGCAGCCAATGACGGCGCCGATGCGGATCACGCCGACGACGATGACGGCGTTTTCGCGTCGGTGATGAAGGTTTTGGAAGGAATTCGAAATGCGCGCGCGGCAGACGCGCGAGAGTGACCCGCACGGTATTATTCGACGCGGATCGTGCCACCCCAGCACGCGCGCAAAGGGCGTTCGAACGATTTCGACATGCGCGCACGAAGCTCGTTTGGTAACATTTCATGAAGATATTGAAAACGCATGGTTATGAGTTCGCAAGAGCGCGCGCGCACGCTTTTGTTGAAAATCCATGTTCCGAAACCTTGTGTTTTCTCCAATGTTGTTTGGACGCTGGATTTCGAAATCCTTTCGCAACCGAGGGTTTTGAAGGATTTTGGCATGCGCGCGCGACGACGCGCGCGTGTGAAATTCATATTGTTTCTGGCAGAAAGGATTCGCGGAAAAGTGTTATCCCAGGATAAAAATGCCACCGTATAGTATTTCTTGCAAAGGGAACTGAGGGGGGGCGATACCCGCCTAGTTGGGATAGTTTGAATTCACAGGTAGGATCGACATTAGGTCAGAATCATGAGCGTTTTGCACGGGTTCCAGTCGATAAGTCCGGGGGGGGGGTAGAACCTATTTCCATTTTAGAAAGGAGAGTAGATGTGATGCAGTTGATGTGATAAGCGATGGAAAAGCGCAACGCAGGCGCGGTTTTTGTTTGCTCAACCTATATGTTGCAATCCAACGGGCGGCGACGGGGTGGCGACCGCTGGCACGGAGCCGCCAGACCGGCCAACAGGCCCAGACGACGGACGGCGATGAGGCGGAGACGGGGCGGCGACGGCCGACACGGAACCGCCAGACGTGCCGACCGGTCCAGCTCCTTAGAACAGAAGTTTGAAGTCTTTAGTGCATGGCCTTTGTGGGGAGCGTACTTCGCTAACCGAGACCTAGTAGCACATCGTCCTCCTTGTTTCCAGCACAACAGTTGCAACACGTCTGCGTGCGCACTCGTTGGAATCAGGAGAAAGCCGTCTCCGATTTTGACATTCTGTCAGATGAGAGCATGAGGGCCACCCGGGCGCGCAGATCCAAAATATGCAACAATCATTGCGTACTCGTTGGATCATTCAATGAATGCATTGCGGGGAACACGTGCTCGTTTGCGCGCGCGCGTGCGCATTTCATTCCCAACCATCCTGTGGTGTTGGGTCCTCGTTTTGAAGAGACAGCGCCCCGCGTCCCACCTCCTCTCCTTCTCTCTCCTCTCCTCCTCTCCTCCTCTCTCCTCCGCACACCCATTTCGGCACACCCCTCACACGTTTCGTGGCCCCTTAGGGAGCTCCACCGAAGGCCTCATGGCTGCCGTCCGCATGCGTCCCGCACACCCATTTCGGCACACCCCTCACACGTTTCGTGGCCCCACAGGGAGCTCCACCGAAGGCCCCAGTGCTGCCGTCCGCATGCGTCCCGCACACCCATTTCGGCACACCCCTCACACGTTTCGTGGCCCCAGCTCCACCGGGAGTTTCACACGCTTTCCGCATGCGTCCCGCACACCCATTTCGGCACACCCCTCACACGTTTCGTGGCCCCATAGGGAGCTCCACCGAAGGCCCCATGGCTGCCGTCCGCATGCGTCCCGCACACCCATTTCGGCACACCCCTCACACGTTTCGTGGCCCCACAGGGAGCTCCACCGAAGGCCCCAGTGCTGCCGTCCGCATGCGTCCCGCACACCCATTTCGGCACACCCCTCACACGTTTCGTGGCCCCATAGGGAGCTCCACCGAAGGCCCCATGGCTGCCGTCCGCATGCGTCCCGCACACCCATTTCGGCACACCCCTCACACGTTTCGTGGCCCCATAGGGAGCTCCACCGAAGGCCCCATGGCTGCCGTCCGCATGCGTCCCGCACACCCATTTCGGCACACCCCTCACACGTTTCGTGGCCCCATAGGGAGCTCCACCGAAGGCCCCAGTGCTGCCGTCCGCATGCGTCCCGCACACCCATTTCGGCACACCCCTCACACGTTTCGTGGCCCCATAGGGAGCTCCACCGAAGGCCCCATGGCTGCCGTCCGCATGCGTCCCGCACACCCATTTCGGCACACCCCTCACACGTTTCGTGGCCCCACAGGGAGCTCCACCGAAGGCCCCAGTGCTGCCGTCCGCATGCGTCCCGCACACCCATTTCGGCACACCCCTCACACGTTTCGTGGCCCCATAGGGAGCTCCACCGAAGGCCCCATGGCTGCCGTCCGCATGCGTCCCGCACACCCATTTCGGCACACCCCTCACACGTTTCGTGGCCCCATAGGGAGCTCCACCGAAGGCCCCAGTGGCTGCCGTCCGCATGCGTCCCGCACACCCATTTCGGCACACCCCTCACACGTTTCGTGGCCCCACAGGGAGCTCCACCGAAGGCCCCATGGCTGCCGTCCGCATGCGTCCCGCACACCCATTTCGGCACACCCCTCACACGTTTCGTGGCCCCACAGGGAGCTCCACCGAAGGCCCCATGGCTGCCGTCCGCATGCGTCCCGCACACCCATTTCGGCACACCCCTCACACGTTTCGTGGCCCCATAGGGAGCTCCACCGAAGGCCCCATGGCTGCCGTCCGCATGCGTCCCGCACACCCATTTCGGCACACCCCTCACACGTTTCGTGGCCCCATAGGGAGCTCCACCGAAGGCCCCAGTGCTGCCGTCCGCATGCGTCCCGCACACCCATTTCGGCACACCCCTCACACGTTTCGTGGCCCCATAGGGAGCGCCACCGAAGAAGATATTCACAAGTGCGGTACTCCCAACTGCATATGGTTGGGTCTTTCGCCAGGCTAATTTTTCATAAAGACAATTGATGGCTTAAGCATTTCAAGTCGGGTATGCGCAAACACATACGAACACCCAGTGTTTTCAAGAACGAGTTCGTGAGAGATGTTAATTTTCTGCGCGCGAGCACTTCCTCATCACCTTCATCATCACCATTGTTATCATCATCGCCAGCGTCATCGTTGGCATCGTTTTTATCATTAGCACCACCATCGTCATCATCACCGCCATTGCAATCATCGTCATCGTCACTGTCGTCGTTCTCATCATCATCGCCATCATCATCATCGCCGGTGTCGCCGATGCCGCCGTCATCATTAACACTCGCCCGCCCGAGACATTGATCTGCATGAGCAGGGTCCGCGCGTCACTGCGCCATTTGAGATTTGCGAGCGAGTTCTGATTGGTGCTGCACCCGCGGCCTGCGTGAGTTTTGCCGAGAATTTGCGGATTGATGGGTGCGATGTTCACTCGAGCATGGAAGGTGGTCACGCGCGGTGCAAGTGCAATTAATTAGTCCACACAGGTTGCATGACATCTCTCACACATGCAGAGTGGAGGAGCTAGCTCTCTTTCTGGGGCACTCGCTTGCACACGCAACTGGTATATGTTTGTCATGCTGTGGCGCAGTATGTGTTCCCCCATGGAGCGTTGTTGCCGCAAGGCTTTCGAATGCCGGACGGGCTTGACGGTGCGCTTTGGAAGACGGGCAGCAGCTAGCACCGTATGGTTTCAGAGGCGTGCGAGCACAGGCAGCGCATAGGGGCGGCAAGGAAACAGGCAGACAGGTGGGATCGCTGGCCAGGGCCCGCAGATGCCAGGTGCCCCCTTCGGATTTTGCCGAGGGACGCACTGTTTCCATTCTTGTGGCTCCTGGCAGCTCCAAGCAGATCTTCCTTGCACCCACAGGTGTGATCCCCCGCTCCTTCTCTCTCCCTGCACGCGCTCCCTGGGCGAGGGCGTTTGGGGAGGGGAGTGGGTGGGGGGTGATGCAACCTTGAACCGCGTTTCTCGCCCCGTAGAAGTAATATCCCGCCCTGGGACCCCTCCAAGAGGCTGTCCTCCCTCGTACTCCCACCGCCCACCCGCAGAATTGTTCAATTAGTTATTCTGCTGGTGCTATCGATATCGTTCTCGTTCGGCGGTTCCCTCCCCCCCTCGGGAGAGAGTTAAGTATTTTGAGTGCTTGTGATAACGCCGATGATATCGACAGTTTGGGTTCAAAGTTAATCTGGTGGATGTAAGGAAGGTGTCCAATTGTGGCCCGCATGGGCTGAGAGGTGCCCCCACGGGCAGGAATTCGCCAGGTGGCATGCCAATTCAGCAACGTTAGCTGGCACCTGCACGGATGCAAGACGACGGATCAAGACTAAGGCTGAAACATTGAGCAAACAGTTGCAATGAGCAGAGCGATGAGTAAGCATACAGTAGGTGTCTTGCCCGTGTTCGAACCTTTCCAGGCGGTGCTAATGGCTTGAAGCCAGGGCTGCGCACCACGCAAGGGCATGCCTCCCGCGACATCTGATTGAGCGCGCGAGTGCTACAGAGTGTTTCACCTGACGTTGGCATCATCTCGAACCGGCGTCCTGGCAGGTCGGCTCCTCAGTTGCCAGGATGGTTCGTGATGTAAGTGGTCTGCTCCCAGGCGAGGCCGTCCATGCGAAGCTTGGACAGCCATGTAGTCAGGTGTTCGTGCGCAAGCCCAGAAGAGGCGCAAACAGGTGGGGTCCAGTCCATGCTGGGAAGGAGTCCGAGATGGAGTCGGGACATGTGGCGCCCTCCCCCCAGGCCGTAAGGATGCAAGGGGGAGAGCTATCGAAGAAGAAGGAACAACGGCATAAACATAAACATTTGGCGCTCCGCGCGGATTTCTTGGATCCGCGCTGGGCCCCCCTCCCTGCGCCTCCAGCGCCGACCCTGGCGCGCTCCGCGCGCCAGGGAGGGGGGCCCAGCGCGGATCCAAGAAATCCGCGCGGAGCGCCAAAAGTTTATGTTCATGCCGTTTGTCATTCTTCTTCTTCTTCTAAGCTATCCAGGGGAAGGTGGAGAGGGACAGGAGACGCCGAAGGAAGCAGAGGGGCAGGGACGAAGAAAGTGCGCCCAGAGCAGGCCGAGGAGGGGGCGCGGCAGGCCGAGGAGAGCCGAGCGGTTTGTCGCCCAGAAGCTTTTCAGGCTCCAGGGCCTCCCAGAAAGCGGACTCTGAGGGGATCGATGGGATTGGGACTCGAGGCTCTCCGATAATCCGGCGATCGTAAACATGGATCACCGGGGGCGTGGATTAGCGACGGGTCCCGTTCCCATAGGAAGTCGAGGATTCCCGCCGCCGAACGAGGCGGAGCCCGCCGCATTTTGGGGAGGGCACCTCTCTCGATCCATGGATTTGGCGACCGCGCGCCAAATCCATGGATCGCTAATCCATGTTTGTGCGCCCCCGATATGAGCGCTGTGTTGCGAGGGCAGCGGAGTGATGAGCCGAAACAGGAGATTGATGGTGGGCGTTGTTTTATTTTTTGTCTTACCGATCGGCGTCGGCCCTCGCCCCCCCCCCCCCTGCCCCCCCTTCCCCTTCCCCTTCCCCTTCCCCTTCCCCCATGGAGTAGATCTTGGCCGTTTGGGGCGCCTGCTTCGAGCAGGTAGGGTTCCTCCCAGAGGCAGCTCTCTTGCAAACAGTCGCACTATGCAGAGGTCTGGAGCCAGACCCCTCCCTCCCCCCCTTTCCGCCCAATGTCGAAACGCCGAAAAACAAAAATCGTTCACATGAGGAGGGGAGTGTGGGGACATAGGGTAGGCGGATGAGTAGGAGGAGGAGGAGGAGGAGGAGGAGGAGGAGGATCCAGGGGAACAGCAGGCCCAGGAGGACGAGCAGCCGAAGTGTCAGGAGGAGGAGCACGAGGAGGACGAGGAGCAGAACGAGGAGGATGGAGGGGAAGAGGAGGAGGAGGAGGAGGAGGAGAAACATGAGGAGGAGGAGGAAGGAGGAAAGAGGCGGAGTACGAGGAGGAAGAGGAAGAGCAGCGGAGGAGGATGCGTTGGAGGAGGGAGGAGCGGGAGGCGGCGGTCGAGCGAGGAGGAGTTGGAGGAGGGAGGAGAAGGAGAAGGAAAAGGAATGATGATGAGGTACAGGAGTCAGGGAATTTGAAGGAGGAGAAAGGAGGAGGAGGAAGAGGAGGAGGAGGAGGAGGAGGAGGAGGAGGAGGGGGAGGAGGAGGATGAGGAGGCGGGGATGGCGGTAGGACTCGTGGAGTCTCTGGTGCAGTTGCACTTGAAGAGCAGGCCTTGGCTGACGTGTGTTAAATGACACTGAGTGGGTGACCGTCCAGTGCACCCAGACCGTGACAACGAGTGCTCCTCTCTGCACTCTCGGATCCAGGCCGCACCACCCCGTCAGGGGCGAGCCGATTCGGCCGCGAACTCTCCTGGGTCTGACCCCCTTGGGGGTGGGGGGCTTTCCCTCCCCTCTTAGGCTTCTCTGCCCGCGGGGACAAGACCGTGGGACTCTCAGCGCTGTGCGAAGCCCTCTCGCGCTCTCCAAGGGCAGGGTACTGGAAAGACAAGGATGAGGTGGAGTTTGAGTCCAACCCAGTGGCTGAGACGGCGCATGTCTGGAGAAGCGCCCACAACGGTCGTCAAGTCGGCCCCAAGGCTACGTTCGTTCAGGGGAAAGCAATCGTCAATTCAGCTCCAACACTTCGTTCGTCAAGACAAGAGGCTCCGACAACTCGGAGACGAGAGAAGACGTTTCACCTTGACTCCACCGTGAAGTCAAGGTGAAACTGGGTCGCATGAAGAGTCGAGGGTAGTGAGGATCTGGGACCCCCAGGCCGTCCCGCGGACCCGCCCCGGGGAGAGCACACACCAGGATGTCGTTGTGCTTTGTTGCGCTTGGTGTCGCTACCTTCGGGCTCAGAGGCTTACCGCAGCGTATGTTGCCTGCCTGGAGGCTCTTCGGCGTCATGTTCGTTCCGCTCCAGAGGCCCGCGAGGTGCCGTTCCCACGCGGTGGACTTCTCCCACCATCCTGACGTTCTTGGGGGGCACCTGCCACAACGCTGGACCTTTCTGGTGGGAGCGAGCCTGCGCCATGATGAATCCTACCCGTCTGTGTCTTGCCGTTGTCCGTCTGTCATTGCTGCCCATCCAGAGAGTATTGAGGGCAATCTCCGCGACCTCCTGCGGCGACTTTGCCAAGATGAGGTTGCTTCACGTGCCTTTGGTCGCAGGATTCACGTCGCGCTCGATAGCCTTGAGGCCCCACTCGATCATTTCCGCAAAAGCGGAGACTTGCGGAGGGCTTCTGGCCCGGAAGTCGACCGCTTCGCCTTGTTTCTTCCCCTCGGCGACCTTGCGGCCTTCGGCCTTGTACGATCTGCAAGGCGCGCGGATGGCCTGGCCAATGCCAGCTTCCACTGCCTCCATTCCAACGGTCCCGCGCACGGTGCTGGTCAGGTGTGCGATCTCGCGATTGTCGTTGAGCAGCGGCTTGGCCAAGGGAGTCGCCAACTCCTGGGGGGCAGATTGTTCCCTTGCCGATGGCACTGCGCGCCCGCTTGAGCGCGGCGGCGAACCCCCCACCAGATGATCACCAGCACCCGACTCTGGGGCCCTCCTGATACAGGACAGCATGACCAGGTCGCCCATGTTGAATGCTGGTCTGCACGGGATGTGCGAGCCCTCATTGTGATTACGTGAAGGACGAACCAGTCAAGCTTGTCTGGAGGCTGCATCGGATGAAACTCCTGGACCCCAACCGACGGGCATCGCCCGGAAGCCTCCTGGACAAGATCCTGGCGCCCTTCCCACACGCGCAGCACTTGTTGCAGACCGCCAGACGTCGCCCGAAAATTCGGGCGAGGTGTTGAGCTCGGAGGTGATTCGGAAGGTCCCTCTCGGATGAGTATCCGCCGGTCGTTGAAAGTAGGGTTGTTAATGCCCAAGTCCCAATCTGCTCCAGGCGCCTTCATACTTTAGGGGGGGTGGAAGCCCAATTTACTTCCAGCGGATTCCTACTCCATGTTTCTACCCACTGCTTCTGACCGACGGATAACTCTGCAAACGTGGGACCCCATCCTCGCGCCACTGGCATTTCCACGGCACTCCCTGGGGGCGCCTCCGGAGGAGGCTGCTCGGGCTCCAAAGGGCGCGCTGGAGGGCGTCCCTCTCACGCATCGCCCAGGCGCCATCGGCCCGCCAGATTTGTGCCGCAGCCCATCGCGTTGTCAAGCTCGCAGGATCACTTTTGGATGGTCGAGGACTGGGGAGGAGGGGGAGGATGGGCAAGATCTGCGGCGTGCGAAGGGGGAAGTGAGAAGGAGAGGGCCTTCTCAGAATGCAGCGGGGCTTCTCAGGAAGGCCTCCAGCCTTTTGAGAGGTTCTCTGTGACTTCACGGAAGGCTTAAAAAACTTCTCAGATGTCCTGGGGACGTCCGAGCCTTCTGAAAAGGCCCGCTCTTTCTCACTTCCCCCCTCCTGGCCCGCCGCCGATGATCGAGATTGGGGAGGAGGAGGGGCAAGAGGAGGAGCAGGAGGATGAGGAGCTAATGCAGGAGCAGGAGGAGCAGCATGCGGAGGAGGAGGAGGAGGAGGAGGAGGAGGAGCAGAGGGAGCAGGAGCAGCAGGAGCAAGACGGAAAGCTGGAGGGGAGCAGCAGCAGCAGTTGTTGCAGTTGCGTGAGGACAGGCCTGCGAGCACCGCCTCCATGCGTCCCCCCCATGGCGGCGCCTGGCCCTCCTGGGTTGGCGCTGGAGGCCTGCCTCTTGGGCTCGGCTGAGCTGTCCTGGGCCCCATGCGGGCGCATCCTCCTTCCCGGGAAGGCGTTAGCACACGGACGCCATCGCTCAGACCGGGGAGGCTTACCTAAGACCCTACGACCTTAAGTATGACGGACAGAGCGCGTATCGTCGCGATCCGTTAGTTGGGAGAGATAACAAGGGAGAGTGTGAGGGGGTTGGCAGGTCCCGTCCCAGATGACGGAAAGCGCGCGTGGCGTGCGATCCGTTAGTCGGAAGGAATGAAACTAGGGGTAGTGCAGGGGGGGCTGGCATCCCGGGCCCCAGGATCTAATAGCCTTCTTCCGTGTTAACGGCGCCCTTAACAGGGATTTGTTTTCGCTCGGGCACCTCTTTTCCTTGTTAACGGAGCCCTTGACAGGGAAAATCCGGCGCTTCATAGTGAAAATCCATTCCTTTTCCTTGTTAACGGGGCCCTTAACAGGGAAACTCGGGTGCTGAACATGGAAAATCAGGTGACGGACGCTCGGGCACCCTTTTCCCTGTTAACGGAGCCCTCAGCAGGGACTTAGCAGGGAAAACCGGGTGACGGACGCCGTTTCCCCCTGTTAACGGACCGTTAACAGGGAAACGAGTTCCTTTTGAACGGACCGT